GACTGGGTCCATTCTAGTGGCAGAGCAGATAAAATGCAATTTCTTATTTACAGAACTGCAGTCTGCAGAGTGTGTTTGCACTTGATCCAACTGTCAAGATGTGATTAAAGCGTTGAGTGTACTGCACAGTTTTATCTGTAACATGCTAAGAATACCCAACAAGAGCGCGAACGTGGCAAATGATTATTAGTTTGCAGCTCAACACAGTTCAGTTTTATTTAGAAAAGCACCAAATCACAACAACAATCACCTAAAGGAGATTTATATCGTAAGATAAAGACGCTACACTTATAGAGAAAACCCTGACAATAAAACAACCCACTTTGAGTAAGCACTGGGCAACAGTGGGAAGGAAAAACTCCCTTGTAACAGGAAGGAACCTCCAACCCAACAGGACTCAGGGAAAGGCAGCCAACTGGTGTGACTGCATGAAAAAATAAAAGTTTTAATTACTTAGGATGTATTTGTTTAATAATTTTAGTATTCTACACGTTTTTGCAATGTACATTTTATTAAAAGAAATGGAATAATAAAAAGAACTGAAGATCCTTCAGGTGAAAAGATGTTTTTATGGGGTTTTTTTAATAGGTGTGATTTACTTTTGAGTTGCTCAATTTGCAGTGGATTTGCTTTTGCTTGGGTCTCAGTGTGTTGATAAGGGTTGCTTGCTGTTTTTTTCCTGGCAAGTCTTCCTGTGGGTGTGTGAGTGTTGTCAAGGCAGACAACATCGGTAATCTATTTGCGAACGCGTCTCTGAAAACAGCAAACAGAGCGGCACAGACCATATGTCCTGTTGCTTCTTTAGCATTTTTTTTTCATTATTCTTAAAAAAGCAAAAAATAAATCACTGTGCAATTTCAGAAGATCCAGATTAGACAGGGCGACAGCAAAATTTCCACTTTAAGTGGGGGTTATGATGACAGATTGTCAACTGAAACTGTGTTTGCGGATCTTTTTTTTCGTCTCCTGTGGAGCTGAAGAAAATGGCCAAAGGCTTAGCGGTGATGTCATGCAGTTTTCAAAAGTCCTTTCGCTGCATTTGTCAAACTTAGAGGTGATGTCATTCAGTTTGGAAGAGTCCTTTCACTGCATCTGTGAAACTCAGGAAGCACTACGGTGCCAGGCCCACACACACAAACATGCACAAGTACACACATGCCAGCAACATCATCCTCTCAGCCTATATTTTTCAAGGCTACTGCTACTGCTTTTATGTCCTCATTCATTCTTTCCCAACATATAATTATCAATTTATGCCGCTTCTTCGGTTTCTCCCTGAAGTGTTTGTGTCAATAATATCGAAACAGCTGCTCTTTGGAGAATGAGCCTTGAATAAAACAAACAATTTTGGGTGGAAAAAGTCACGATGAAAGCAACATTTACAAGTAAATCTTTTGTTTTTTTACATTTTTAACATTAGCTACCTGATCAGTGTTTTATTACCAAATTCAGGCTGCTAATCAGTGTTTGTTATTCACATAAATAGAGTTATTCTTTAATACGATCTCCTCCTTGTATACTGTTCTGTGGGATTTTGATCTGCTGTGATTTCTTCTCCATTCAGCCAAACAAACAGCTGCCTGTCTTTGTACTGAATCACTGGTCTGTTATTAAAGGTGTATTTATCCATCACTCTGCGTGGCTGCACAGATAGAAACTCATTGTTCCCATCATTCTCACTCACACACACACAGGGTGATGGATCTCTGGCTTCATTATCACTGGACCTCTCTTTACAGTGGGGAGAGAGAGTGCAGGGTGCCGTCAGCCCGGGTCAAGGGGCTGGAAAAGATTCTCACTATAAAGGGAGAGTGTGTGTGTGTGTGTGTGTGTGTGTGTGTGTGTGTGTGTGTGTGTGTGTGTGTG